CCCCAAAACCCCAAAACCCCAAAACCCCAAATGTAAAGTTCGAAAAATGCAGTCTAAAATAAAATGATTTAAGCTGATAAATTATGAAAAATTAGTATATAATTATGTAGCAAGATTCTAATAACATGCAATAGATTTAGAACTACTAGAACACAAATCATCTTTTATCTCCAAAAGCATCAAAATAGGTAGATATTTAATTTTATGCTACTTATGATGGGTTGTCAGACGATATAAACTCTTCACTTGGGAGACAATCTTCTCTATCAAACTAAGCAAGCTTAAAAACTGTTTAATTTCACCCATCCCATGCTAATGTAAATGCGGCTTCTCATGAATATCTGACCTTTGACAAGCATCATCAGCCAAGACTAAGTCATCAGTAAAACTAGATTATGATGCTAGATCTTAAAAACTTTTAAACGCAAAATTATTAATATCAAAATCTGAACAGTTACCCGAGGCAGAATAGTTAAGTTCAAAATAATTAAGGAGGAGGAAATGCATCAATGGTATCTCAGAGAAATACTACTGAGTCAATGAGCGAAAAGAACAGTCCTAGTGGCAAAAATTATAAATAAAACAATTAATTAGGGTTTAAAATTTAAAACATGAAGGAAACTTTTTAACAATAATAACCACACTTATCTCAACAGTAGCAAGTGTCTTCAAATTTTTAATAGCAACCCCATATACTCGCTAATGTTAATCATCACCTGAACTCTAATCCTTATCAAAGGCCGAACCTACAAACTTCAATTCAGCAAATTATTATGGAGGAAGACGCAATATCACCTTTGTCAAGAGGGGTCACTCCATATACGAATAACTCAGATTAAAAGCAAAATAAGAATTTGACTAAGATAGCGAATTTTTACTCTCAAACCCAATAGAATCAACCCAATCACTCATCTTAATAGCATCTCTAGCATTAGCAGCAACTACTTATTCGCAAAAATAATTTTACCTCCTCTCCAAACTAGAGTCTTCAGATGCATTAGGATGATCTGACTATGGCTAATACTACTAGTGGGAGGCATACTGTGAATACTATGCATTAGAGAAAAAATTCAAGCTCAAATTTTAGCCATAGCAATGGAGGGAATGTTAAAGACTCATTAATGACGCACACTGTCGATGGAAAGCAGCTGCCACCTCTTGATCCCAAAAGCTCTCAGGGAAGTTTCCATAATCAAATTCACTCTAGATAAATTAATAAAAAAAGGTTGAGCACATAAAATATAGACTCTAATGCTCTAGGTGAGTAAGCTTCTCCTAGTAAATTATTGAAATATCCAAAGTAATAAAGCCACAAGGATATTATAAGGCCAAGTAGTCAACTGTAGGGTAAGAGGCAGCCATAAACAAACTTGACCTCTTTCGTAGATTCTTCAAACTTCCAATCCCTAGGCTAGGGCTATAATTCGATTAATAATCCTGGGTCTTCACTCGATAGAAAATAATCATAATTAGTTGAATAAAAAAAGTAAAAAAGTTTTACGAAATAAAATCTCAATAATATACTTTAAGAACAGTAAATCGGCAACCTTAAATAATAATCAAGTAATTAGAAAAAAGCCCCTGCCCACCGACAATCTCCATACAGTATAAACTAAACAGCTGAGTTAATGCATATTAATGACAAAAGAGCAGGCGGGAATTCTCAAAACTCAAGGCAGAAAAAACTTAAAAATGTTATTCAGTCGTATTCATCAACAAACAATACTAATTAGTAAATATAATAGATGAACGTTCCTAGATTTAGCAATCCTAGCAGATTTGATTTAAGCAGTTCTCCAATGAGCATGAATGGACCAGAGTCTTCACATTACAATGCAGCAGGTTATTAAACTCTGCTTGGATATGGAGCTGGGGAAGATCTGTCAAAGAGAATCGCAACCTAGTAGGCTTCGACTTACTCTCCGAGCGCATTTAGTATGTACCCTAAATCTATAAACAATTAAAATGAGTAATTAGTATCCCAGCAGCAATAAAACAATAGCAATATTAGAAAGCAATTCTCTCAAACTCAAATGAGAACAATGAGTTAGAATGGTTAGGGCACTAATCATAATGGCTAGGGAATATAAAAGTAAGGATAATTGCATCGACATTATTAATCATTATATTAGTTTGAGACAGTCAAAGATTGATCCTGTGACGAGAGGAAACAGCCAGCAGCATCTTACGAATTCCATTAATAAATACCTAGGCAAAAAGAAAATACACAAAACAAAGCATTAAAAAGATGGTCTCAAGCTTAATCTGTCTAATATTCTTCTCAATCAAAGATAAAATGAATCTAATGATACGACAGCTTATGATTAGGCTCTAACTGCTAAATCTAATATTTAAGGAGGGCAAGTAAAAGTAACTAAAGCTTAAACCACAAAAAATGGTAAAAAGTTGCAAATTAATGTAAAGAAAATTCCCGAGCTTAAAAATTTCAAACTTGTGTAAAATAACCTCTCATCTTAGATTGGGCCTTTTATCACAACTGACGATAGGAGATTAGTAAACTATAAGAGCAAGAATATCATTCAATAGCATCAAAGTGAGCTGATCAGTTTCGAATTCACTAGTGCCAGAGTACTTCCTAGCTCCAAAAATGACTAACTCTCTCTTGGTAGAGATTTTGACAATAACTAAGAGATTCTTGTGAAGACTAATGACTATTAAATCACTGACACTGATGATAATCGTAGTAACGTCAAGTCGAACTAATTAGATTTTCAAAAGCCTTAATCCCAGCAGTATTTTCAAAGAAAAAAAGAATCATAGTCAATATATCTGGAGGATTAAAAGTTTCCGAGAGTCGTCATTGATACCGAAATGCATGCAAATGAGTTTTTATTAGACAAGGAGCTTTGCGAGATAAAAGATAAGATAAGCCTTGACTAGAATGTACTAAAGGTATAAGAGGTCAAATAAACTCTAAATGCAATCCTTGAGAAGAAGAATCTGGGAAGATTAACTGAGATTATTGATTAAATGCTCAATATTTACTAGTTTCAGATTGATTCTCAATAAAAATTCATTCAATAATCATAATCTGTATCTCCCTCAGCTTACTAAATTTTGAAAGAAGATAATTTAAGGCAAAACTAAAAAATTTAAGATCTGTAAAACATTTCAGATCATAATGGGGAAGAGAATGAAAAGTTAAAGAAGCAAGTATTTGAACTCTAATAGGAAAATAGCTCATAGAAATTCACAATCGAGTAATTAATCAAAGATAAAAAATCCGAGCGAGATTAGAAGAGTAACGAAGATGCTTTAAAAAGAGTAACTAAAGAATTAGGATAAATGTATGAATAAAACTAAGAGTAGTAAAAAGAAATTAAAAAGTTGAAAAAAGAGCTCAAGGAGTCTTAGAGCAGAGAAAAAGATTATTTGAGCGTGCTTAAAAATACCTCTGAATTCAGCAAACTAGCAATTGAATAACAGTAGCGAGTCTAAAATATTCAAGTATTGCAGCAAAATGAATTTGTTTAGAACTCTATTTAACAGCAAAATAACGAACACAAGCTCAAGGTCATTCCAAAGTTGAATCTTAAGTTGGCAATGAAAAATCAAATGAGTTCTGCAGTTAATAGTAGTGAGAGAATGGGCTAAAATTTAAGTAATCAAAGCAGACACAAAATCTAGAAATAGTACGAGCAAAATGAAAGTTTCAAACAAGGAGGAGATGATGATGATTATAATAAGGATGAAGAAATTGACTAAATTGGGGAGTTAGTTAAGCCTTAAAATGCCGACAATAATAAGAATTAGACTAACAAATTTGTTCCACCTTTAAAAATGAAAACATTAGCATCAAATTTTGAAAAAATATAGGAACCTAAGATGGGTCTTGATATGAAAAAATTAAGTAAAATATAAGACTTTTAAGATGAATTCATGGATAAGTATGAGGAATTCAGTCTTTCGTGGAGAGAAGCCATTAGAAGAGAAAAGAGATTTTGAGCATTCAAAATTTTAATCAGATTCTAAACAACTATTTATGATTCAAGCACTTTTAAAATATTAATGTTAAGACCACCTTATATAATATTTTCAAGGTAAATATATAAAACTTAATTTCTTAAAATTTTAAAGCTCTTTTATAATCGCTCTAGAGATTTGTTTATTAAATTTGAATTAAATAATCAAAAATCTAATCTCAAGGGGTTTTGGGGTTTTGGGG